TTTCTGTGGGCCGGGACAGATTTGTGAACTTGCCGTTGTCCTGTCTTGGGAGTGATGTTGGACTTCTCTTGTGCTTTTCAGCTACAAAAGACCCCACAGCTGTGGAGAGAGCCAACTTGTTAAACATGGCCAAGCTGAGCATCAAAGGACTCATTGAATCTGCCCTGAGCTTCGGCCGCACTCTGGACTCGGACTATCCCCCCCTCCAGCAGTTCTTTGTGGTTATGGAACACTGTCTGAAGCATGGCCTTAAAGGTATCGCGAGACTTCGGAAATCAGTGCACCTTGCAGTCCCTCTCTTTGCACCCTACATATCCTTGAGGAATGGTTTTGAGGCTGCAGCTACCATTATTTTGCGTTTTAACATACTGTCGGGCCAGTGGGATGGCATTGTGAGTAAGGGCTTGCCACACCATCTGGAAGGCCTGAGTTTGTTCTTTGGAACCCAGCTTAAGGTGAAGGAGCCAGATTAATAATATTATGGCCGTGTCCCACACATACACACAACAATAATTTTAAAAAAATTGAGTGGGTTCGTTTCCTGGATGATCTTCAGAAAAATTTAAATAATTGGAGAAAAACATACTAGATTCCTTTTTTTTTTTTTTTTTTTAAGAGAGAGAGAGAGATCTCCATATAACCCTGGCTGGCCTTGAACGTACTGTATAGACCAGGCTGGTCTTGAACTCACAGAGATCTGTTTGTCTCTGCCGCCCAAGGTTTGGGATTAAAAGTGTGCACTACCATGCTTGGCCTGATGACATGTTTTTTAAATGTTTACCCTTGAACTGATTTTCATTTCCTTGGGTAATTAAAAAAAAAATTATTATGCTTATTCACACACACACACACACACACACACACACACACACACACACACGTGTTGAGCGCACATGAGCATGAAGGTCAGAGGGCAACCTGTAGGAGGCAGATGCCCTCACCCACTGAGCCATGCCCCGAGCCTTGGATTTCTTTTGAAACTGAAACTGAGTGGTGATGCTGGCATGAACTCATTAATTCGTTTGAACCCTGTTGAAGAAGTCAGTCAGAAGTAGATTGTTGAGCTAGAAAGGTCTTCAGAGCATGGGGACATATGGACAAAGTGACCTCGGACCCAGGTTGCCATAGAAACAAGTGACCCCGGAAAGGATGATGGTCTGCTACGCAGCTCCTATGGAAGGTTGTTACATGGGGAACGTGTGTGTGTTTTTTGAGGGTCTCTGTGTAGCCTTGGCTAGCCTGGAACTCCCTGTATAGACCAGGCTGGCTTCCAGCTCACAGAGATCCACCTACCTCTGCCTTCCCGGGGG